CGCACAATGTGATTGATATAATATCAAATTCGCACCAGACCGCCAAACTTTTCTAGCGGCAGAGCCTCGTTTTGAGATTTCCACGATTTCCAGGTTTCTATTTGTCAGTGCTCCCTGTACGACAGAGCACGCTGCACGACATGTTTGCAAGGATTATAAGGAGCGTAGTTTTGCATTACGTGCATTCATATCACCAAAGATACCTGTGTAGCAATTGGGACGGTGGGGTAGCCTAGTGGTTAAGGCGTTCGCTCGTCACGCCGAAGACCCGGGTTTGATTCCCCACATGGGTACAATGTGTGAAGCCCATCTCTGGTGTCCCCCGCCGTGATGTTGCCGGAATATTGCTAAAAGCGGCGTAAAACCAAACTCAGTCAGTCTGCCTAACGGCCTCAGTCAGATATGGGCGTCTCGGGATGATACGGGGCAAGATATGGAAGAGGGAAGGTGATAATCTCTACACATCAGATTTACATTTCGGCCAACAGACAACAGTGTACTGTTTTGATACTTTAATATCTAGGAAATTATCAATGCCTGATGCCATTAATCTGCAAAACGTACAAATTGAATGATGGATACATACACAGACGCCACCTGCGTCGACCATACTCAGACAATTTAATAGCAGGGCTGTAGAATACATCATATCCAACTAACCAGTTCATGCCTGACATATCATATACAAGTGTTTCTACGAGGCACGGTATTTGGAATTTGCTGAAGTAAGAGATGAAGTCACTGTTATCCACTTTTTGACTCAATCCGTTCACGTTCTTTTGTATTAGCGCTCATATAATCGAACGTGTTAGCGGTGTCTGGTATTTTACATCCATGTGGTATGTTATCCGGGCCTTGGCAACCGCCCGATTGAAGTTGCTTATTCGGCGGGGTTTCCGCCTCGTCTTGAGTAGTCCTGCCTCGCTTTCGTTGGGGTGTTTTCTGTTAATGACGAGATGCTCCATCAGACGTTTCACGAGGTTTTGTCATGGGCTTATCGTTGTAAGTATCCAAAATGGCCTGTCTTTTTAAGGGCATTTAGTTGTTGACGTTGTCGTGTGGTCAAGTCGCTTGAGATTCATAGCCCCTTTTACTTAAGCACGGGTCTAGCTTTCAGTGCTCGGACCTTGTCGTCTGATATCAGGAGCTATACAGGTATAGAGCGTGGTTTCGCCGTGTTACGACGCTGTGTTCCAAGACGATGGGTGCGGATAACGTCAGACGGTTGCCACGTTTTTAAACATCAGGGTCCGGCTGTTCAAAACTTGGTATCTTTTAACCAGCCGATAAGTACATTTAACCGATAACAGAGGGTTATCTTGTTGTTCAAAACTCTGTTAACTTTTAACAGGATGTTAACTTGACGTTAAGTTAACACACCTAAGGACCGCCGCTAACTTTTTAACAGTGTGGTTAACTCGCAAAATGGCGTTCATGCCTAACGCTGCTTCCATGTTGCCAGTTTAGCAAAGAAAGGATATAATAGGCCGTGTCGTGAATTGGGCATCGCTATTGGGAATTATTCTGACGAAGAGTTACATATGAAACTGTAATATTCTTTCAAATATTGATGTTGTACAAGTGCATGATGCCTACATTTCACCCTTTAACACGTGTGTATAAGGTTTAAGATATAGTTTACTACACTAAATGTGTCAAATTCTTCTGTAAATATCATTCAAACAAACAAACACTTTCAAAGAATAAAAACGTATACCCTATATTCACGTATGATAAAGATGATATTGAACAAGGCTAAATGTAGATAATTATATTAGTTTCATGAAAAAATATCCGAACGATTACATTATAATACTGAAAGTGTACTCGGTAGGATATGGTGGTTGTGTGTACTCTTATTCAACCAACCTTCACCTGAAAAAGATTGCCAAATATGTACAACAATGTTGACGTATGACATCAGTACCGATGACCGATTTCTTACAAAATTACAAAATGGCGGCTTCGGTGACAATGGGTACGCAGGATTTTGCGAGGACCCTTCCCTTTATTCTGGGATCGTTTATGCATAAAATGTGGTGTAAGTACTAGTAATCAGAATGATTCTGACTATTTGTGTATTGTTACAGGTTTTTATCGTTTTATCGTTTCAGTTCATCTAGACACTTCGTATTGCTGATAAAGACCAGTAATAAATTGATTCTAAAATGTATTCAGTATTCAGTGATGCATCTGTCACAGCTGAATTATATTCGTACATAATACTAATAAGCGTCTCAATATCGGACTTCGCGAAACGTGATTTTGTAAACACTATCCAGTGTGGCACAAAGCGCACTTCGGCGTTCGTGTGAGTGTATTTACGAAAACATCCCACTTGGTTCATCGGAAACGTTTAAGAATGATAAGAATCAGAGTTTCATCATGAAAACAGATATCAGCAATCACTGATATGCTATTGTTGAAATTCAATACTTCGAGTAATTACATTTCAAAACATCCACCAAATAACTTTGTGAATCCCGATTTTGTAATGTGTCACAAATGGCGACATTTGCGATGAAGCTTATTTTGAAAGGCCATTTTCAGTACTTTAACTTTGTCTTAGATAACAGTGTATGGTAGCAAGAAACAGGGAATTTCCCGTAGATTTCGAAACTGTAAAATATATTTGTCTGCGTGATATATTTTTGAATTTTAATGGACATCAAAGTGAGGGCATCGGTTCCCAATTGCGCAGATCAATGCTCACGCTGTTGATCACTGGATTGTCTGGTCCAGACTCGATTATTTACAGACCGCTATATGGCTGGAATATTGCTGAGTGCGGTGTAAAACTAAACTCACTCACTCACTCAAAGTGAGGGTTGAGGAGCAAGGACATATATGTCAGTCTGGCATCCTTTGCCATTGATGGATTTTAATCATATTCTTACTAATCATTACAGCTAAAAGGCCTTAATTTCTTTATCATTCTTCAATTTTAATTGAGGCATATCATCTTATAAAAATGCTAATTATATAAATTGACGAAAACTTAATTAGCATAATCATTTCTCTCAACTGATGTGTAGGAAAATATACAAAACAATGTTAAGTATCTATTCCTGTTGTGAGTGATATGCAGGCCTAGGTCGTAGTCACGTAACTTTGATTAAAATGTTATATTTGAATATCGAAACTTAGATCTAGATCATGCCATAAAATCATATATGGTGTCAAGTTCAAGGTAGACAGTAAAAAATAGATCTAGATTATAAACATTACCACGTGGTTTGTTGTCCCATTTCTACCTAAATTGTGAGTGTGAAATTGATTTTTATTTATATTTATATGTTTTTATATAGGCCTACATGTCAATTTTCGTAACTGTCAATGGTCTTGTTAAATATACTGAACCACAAAAGAAACGTCGCTTTCAAAATCCAATGCAAAATTGTGTTCTTATAAGGTGGTGTCTTTCTTATGATTGTACCGTTTTGTTAACATGTTTTTCAATCCAGATTGACAGTTATTACCAACATCAGTGTGTTTTATGGTGAAAAAAACATTTCGACCAAACCCACCTAAAAAGGCAGACGTGGTAAAAGGTTCTTATTCCGTATGACATTCGTGAAAGTGAAAATGCACGTGCATGCCGTGACAACCCTACCAATGAAAGCGAGTCTTAAACTCGCCTGAAATCATTTTTTGTTTTGACACAATCACCATTCCATGACTTACGAGAGATCAGAGGAACCTAGTCATGGCACGATTGCATGTAAGCTAGACTGCACGGAGGGTAGCCAATCATTTTAATGTTCATGTTAAGACAATTTGCCGACTGCAGGGGTGGTATCAGTTCACTAACAGCATCCAAGACAGTCCACGCAGTGGGCGACCTTCAGTAACATCACGCAACCATCTTCCCCAGAGCGACGGAAACAGCACGCATGACCCTTGGGACTCACAACAGACCCATAAGTGCCGATACAGTGCGTCGACGTTTACGCGGAAGAAACCTCTGCTGTGACAGACCATATCGTAGTCCTGTCCTCACCACTCATCCCCGCCCAAACCAACCAAAATGGGCAACTCAGTATTGGAACTGGCGTTATCAACAATGGAGAACTGTGCTTTTATCTCATGAAAGCCGATATTGTGTTTCGACAGTCGATGGCAGAGTGAGAGTATGGTGAAGGCGTAAGGAACTGTTTTCCAATGAGTGTATTATTGAAAGAGGCTGGTGGGGTGGCACAAGCATCGTCCTGTGGGGTGCAATCGGACTGGGCCAGTTAGTTGACATCTTGGTGTTCCAGAATCTTGGTCCAGGATGAGGAAATGACGTGACAGCTGCTCGCTATTTTGACCAAGTCATAAGACCCCACGTTGTACCATATTTTGGACGTTACAGAAATCACATCTTCCAGTAAGACAACGCACCTGCCCACACCGCCAGAGCCACATTGGACTGCCCAAGACAACAGGGCATCCAAACCCTACAATAGCCTGCACTCAGTACGGATTTAAGTCCAGTAGAACACCTTTGGGACAAGATTCAAAGAAAACTGAATGACCCTCAACCAAGGCCGACAACTGCGGCAGGACTCGATCAGGCATTTCGCAGAGTATGGACCCAAGTTCCTATGGCCTTCATCAACCGGCTTATTCATTCCATGTACAGACGATGCAACGCTTTCATCGTTATCGATGCCCATGGTGGCCCCACACAATAATAACTTTTGGGTATCTTAACGGTACCAGTTTTGGTGATTTTGCTTGTGTGAACTCTAAATGGGATTCCCGAAAATGTGTTAAGCATAATTGTCAAGTTTGAACTCAATCCTGCGTTTTGATTGTTAGTTGATTGATAGAGTGAATTAAAGTGTGTGCTTTAAGAAACCGCTATCGGTGCGACAATTCTTTTGTGGTTCAGTATATATTGTGAACATAATCACCATATGCCTACATCGTCATCGGTATCGAGGTGCAATGAACATACTCCAATTTAATTTGAATAAAATTAAAACAGGACATTTAACTTCAATTTTATCCAAGTAAACCAATTCATTATTTATTGTTTGATTTATTGAAAATTACACCATGTCTCAAGGCCGTCTCGACGCCGTCAAAACTTAACCGGCGGTTAAGATAACCGAGTATTGAACAACCGGGCCCAGGGATCCATTAACATTCTCATCACCGTTTCCTTGCAAGCCATTGATTTCTCACCTTCTTCTTCTGGGTACACCAAGGAGTATGACATTATCACGACGGCTAAAGGATTCCAGTTTGTCCATATCGTCCTCAATCTTTGACAAGCGTTCTACGACAGTTTCAATTTTGTCAGAGACAGCATCATTGTCAGTACACATAATGGCATGATTATGTTTCAAGTCGTGAATATCAGATTTGATTAGTGTAATTGTTATTCAAATTGATGACATTTAGAGCTGATTGCGTTGGCTTCACCTTTTAAACTGTAATTTGTAAGCTCAGTTCCGACTAGACATCACGTATCTCCGACGCAATAACATCTCTTACTTCTTTCCGAGAGATAGGTCCTGGGTTAGTTTCAACATCGTTTGAACACAACATAATCTGTATGATAACCGCCACGGGCAATGAACGCATCGATACCGAGATGACACCTTTCACGTGGTAATTTGACCAAACTGGTTCATAGGCAATCGCAGTGACGTCACATCATACACAGAAGGTGGTATTTTCTTATGGCAAATAATAATCAATGTTCATTTTTTCGAAATGATTGAGGAGGGCAAATGAAGCAGACATGTGGATAGCAAATGCAATAGTGCAAATGAGCAGTCAAAAGTGAATAGCAGTCCCAGACACAAATGGCGACTACTCACTATCACTGTGTAGCTTGATTTATCGGGTTCCCCTCGAATGGGTAAACGATTCCGGCTCTGTACACAGCAACTGGCACCATTTGGTTGTCTGGAGTGTTGGTCAGACTGCAGGTTATTACCAAGTGCAGTCAGTGAAACATGAGCTTCCTACCTTGGAATATATTTTGAAAGACAATTATCCTCGATTTTACATAGTGTTGTCGCATCAGGGGACGTAACTCGGTGTAAAAACCGTGTGTCAAGATTCATTGTTTAAATACATGGATATGAGAGTACAGTTGTATCATATCAATCAATGTGAGTGTCACTGGTGTTCAGGTCACAGTTCAATATTCACACACTTCCATACAAGGAGACTTGACAGATCTGTCAAGATGAAGATCTCTCAAGACATATCAATTCATCAACTGTGCGACACGGGCAATACACACACGGGCCTCCCTCTGGCAAATCGCCAGATCCCCCACCACCATGGAATTGGGCAGCTCAACTCCTCTGTCGAAAGTGTCCTCAATGGTGGCTACACAAGACTCCATTCTTGTCAGGAGTTGCATGAGCTGATTGCGGAGACCTCCCGGAGACATGTAATCCATTGCTATGGCAACGTTTTCGATCACGTGGTGAAGTTCGAGTTTCATACTGAGCATGCGCCTCATGAAGTCAAAAGCTAATCTGTCCGATAGTTGGTCATCACTTGTTTTAGCGTCATCACAGATTCGGGTTCTTAGTTTCTCGTTCACGTGTATTTCAGCCGTCAGACGTTTGGTTAGGGTGCGCTCCCGGCTGAGATATTTCTGGATGTTCACATTCAGTCGCTGCTGGCGATGATCCAATGCAGTGTTGTAGAACTGTGTCCTTTCGAAAGACTTATAGTCAATGGCACATTCTTCTATAAGAAAATCTCTCTGTTCTTCAACGACACAAACATGGTACCCATGCGATGTGAGTTTGGAACATGTCCAGCAGAATTTAGCTCCACAAGGACAAGTCATGTTAGGACATCCAGATATCTTCTCGATGAATCGCCTGCAATTTGGGCACATCTTACCTCGTACAGACAGCGCATCAGGAAACAGATCAAGGAAGGTGTCTTTGGCAAGAATGACGTAGTCCTTCAATGCAATCACCTTTTCACGGAACGCCTTGGCTTGGGCACATGTGGCAGGCCAGTGGGCGTTCTTCATGCAGGTAAAACACAGATCTGTTCCACAGGAACACACTACAGGAATAATTCTGCTCTTGATAGGAGGCCCTTCTGCCAGAATGGCCCGTCCACAATGAGGTTTAGGACACCACTTAGCCTGAGCGGAGCAGTTGATCTTCTCACTCATCTGCCTCTCGATGTGTTTCTTGATGTCGCTGATGTGCAGGAAGGAAAGAAGAGTGGGGAAGTCTGCCTCAACACTGCATCCATACTCAGGGCACGTGAAGGCAGAAGGCCCAGATCGCAGTTTGTTGACCAAATGTTGTCTCCAACATCTATCACAGAACCAGTGTCCACAGGCGTCAAGGCTAGTTGCAGGGGAACGTGTGTCGATTCTTTCAGTGGAAACCCTAATGTCGTCATAGCAGATACCGCACACATCGGTGGGACAGCCAGCCTCTGTAGCTTCTCTGTAGGTCCCTTGTAGACTGTAGACGTTGTCAGAGAACTCGTGTGGGTGGAGACAGTTCATATTCCACCTCCTCCCCACATTCACAAGCTGAAACGTCATGAAAGGCTTTTCTAGGCCGTTGAAGGCGTCGCGCTTCACGAACACATCCCTGGGGAGTGTATTGATGTATGAGAGGCACTTGTCTTCGAGCTGTTCCAGTGTGTAGGTCTCCATTTCCACGACTGAGTCCAGCTTGATAGAGTTCATATGAGAAGCAATGTTCAGGGCAACTTTGTAGATTCTTAGAGTGACATCATCCCGACATTCGACCTCTGTAAACGAAAGGTAACCATGGAGATCCAACGATGATGACGTCACGTCCCTGAAGAATGTCGACGTTCTAACATGATCTCTTAGTTTGTCAGTCATATCAATACTAAACTTGCGGGGTTCACATTTTGCCTCGATATAACGCCGACCGTACACAGTTTGCAGGTTATCAAAGGCAGCCTCATTTAAATCAATTTTCACAGGAACAGGAATAACAATTGTTGGGTCCTTGAGGCAGACAGAAAGGGAATTCGCGCTCAGCGCATACTGTTCATCTTCTGTTATCACTGAGCGAGCAGACGACACATGTTTATCAACAAATACAATGCGACCTCTCTTACATTCACTGTCATCTCCGTGGCTAGGTCGTCGCGTGCGACATTTTCGCTTCATTTTACGTTCAACTTTGATGAAGTCTCTCAGTGTAAAGTTTCCTCTAGATATCACCTCCCCAGTGTCAGAGTCGTCTGCGCTCTGAACATCAAAGTCCTCGCAAGTGTCATGTAGCATCTCGTTCACATTTCGCCTAGTTAGACGAAATCGTCGCTTCTTCTTCCTCCCTCCATTCACAGAAGTGCTGACACTGTCTCTAGCCTCTGGTTTGATATACTTTGGGTTATGGACAATTGAGCTTCTTGGGGAACACGGACAGAATATTTCATAGCTTACTGTTGATTCATCAGTACCGGATTGAAGTGTTTCCTCAATGTCGGTAACTGTCTTCTTATGTCTCTTCGCTTGTTGTGGACATGTTTTGAAATTTGTTACCGCCTTCCCACTAAAATATCGTCCCGCTTTCGGAACAAGTCGCTTTATATGTCCTTTATCAGCGTAGTAAGCTATGCAGTTAGATTGTCGTTTCAGCTTGTGCCTCAGAAATAAATCTGTTTTTGTAGTGTCTTCAGTTGACTCTCGGGACTGGATGTATTTTCTGATGACTTCAGGCAAAACCCATCTCTTTCTTTTGTTGAGCGAGAATTCAACATCGAAACCTGGAACATCGAAGTTCTCAATCAGCTTTCCAATTTGGAGTTTTTTCTTCTCCGTTCCCCCGACATATCGCCTCACTATTGAACTGTGAGTGCGGTACTGTCTGTTATAACGCGAGCTAGACACCCGCAGCGTATTGCCGGAGTAAACTCCGTGTTTGGACGACTTCAGCACCATAATGACTACTCACAAACACAGGCAAGGCCTCTGTCAGTTAATCAACTGAATTATCAGTTGATGTGGTCTGTTTTATAATATTCGGCGACTGTTTTCTTCTCGTGGTGCAATACGCTGTGCGGGCTATTATTAGGACGGGCTGTAATACTGCGTTTGTGAGTACGGCTTGTGGTTGATGTATTAACGTGGTTCTTGGCATTGTGCCTATTTTTAGAACGCGATGTAATCACTACGTGTGTGTGTATTGTTCAAGGTGTACTGATGTATCTGTTGGAACAACGCAGACTAACCCTTTGTAGTACGCTAGCAGATGCTTTCAGCAATAATTTCATATATCTAAGATGTTACATGGTGTATTTTGTGACAGTGACATTGTAAGGCTGGGACGAATAACTCGGATACCCGGGACGGGTGGGTAATGAGTTGGACCCGGTTACCCATCTCAATACCCGGACACGTTATGATCATGCAACTAATAGATTAAACAATGTAATATGTTATTCTTTCGTGATTAAAAAGGCTGACGTGTATTGTCTTTGAATATTTAGACATAATTACAGTCACTTCTTTTGAATAAAATGCATGGTTATTGAAAAAACGAAATTTAAGCCTCTGAGCTGAAGAATATATTGCCATTTCTTACAAATTTGATGTCAGGAATTAGCATAACGGGTATCCGGGTAGGGTAGGGTAATAGGGGGTGGGGTTCCCGGGTAGAAAATTCGGACCCGTCCCAGCCCTATGACATTGGTGTCAACAACAGAATCACCTCGCCGGAATACAACATTCCTCAGTTTCAACGTAGGTATATCTAGCGGGGTATGTGGTCTAGTATTAGCCTTCACTGATACTTGTCTTAAGGCAAGAAGTGTTTTGCTTTGACAACAATAATAAACATTAATGAAGCGGTCTAAGTTGCTGCTATTAAAAGTTGTTAATCTGTTTTAAACAATAATAACGATGCTAATGAAGATGATTTGTGGAAAACATATTCCTACGTAATTATTACCAGCAATATACCTTGTATTGATTGATAATGTGATGTTCCTGTGTGAATTGTTTGCGTGTCTCGGCACATGTACTCCACGTGCATTAGGCAGAAACATCTGTCCTCTGAGCATCGACCTCTTGAAGAAAATATGATAATTAAAACAATGTAATCCTTTGGATTTTGGCCTTTGTGTAAATGGGATAGATTACTCTAATCCGATGTTTAAAGCCAAAATGGTCTCGCTCTTGAGTAAAATCCGTATTATTCCTTCATCCATTTTGCTCTCTCTCTCTCTCTCTCTCTCTCTCTCTCTCTCTCTCTCTCTCTCTCTCTCTCTCTCTCTCTCTCTCTCTCTCTCTCTCTCTCTCTCTCTCTCTCTCTCTCTCTCTCTCTCTCTATTTTGTCAATAAAGGTGTAATAGAACATCGACCAAATATTATGTTGTTAAACCACAGAGTAGCCAATCACAGACCTGGAATTCCATCTCAGACATATGTTTAATACCAGGAGTCTTACATGGGCTTCACACCCACAGGTGCAAAAGAGAAGAGTCCCTTCACGGCTTGAAACACAGAGACAAGATCAGATAAGATGTCGCTCGCGTCTGTCCGTCCCTCTGTCTGTCCGTCCCTCTGCAATAATATTCCGGCTTTTCCGAGAGCACACTTAACATGCAGCGGAGTCGTACATCCCGAGATAGGTATAACGTGATTCAATGATAATTCAACCTGTCAGTACATACTTCTCAAGGCACTGTCACGTACACACTCAAGTCAAAGCGTGCAGCGTAGAAAAACGACGTTACAACCCGACCATAATATATATTAATGTTCCCTCCATTTCGCTACGTCAGGTAAATAGCGTTGATGTCTCTTAGTTCTTTACCGATGGAAATACCATCTCCTTCAAACTCTGTGATCTCGTCCGGTTCTAAAAAAGTCATACCTATCCTGCGAAACATATCCGGACGATGCCAGAGTGACATCTTCAGAGCATGTCACTTCCGTTTGATCATATACAGTTTCAGTCCATTGTACATTGGCTTCTTCATATAACTCAGCGTTTCGAATTGCTTGTAAGAGTTGTCTCCCTTCTTCCGTTCCGGAATGGTCCACGTCTGTAGGAAGATCATATGACGATTCATGTGACATCAGTTTATGGACGTCATAAACGAAGTCTTTAAATTGGTCCATTAAACTATATATATGCGACTGTCCTTGCAGATTATTATTTATTTTTTTACCATTCCTAAAATGGAGACCTATGCACTTGTTGGTCAGGGAGCCATTATGAAATATCAATGGCAAAGCATCCTCAAAAAAGTCGCCCCGTCACTGAGTGTTCTGTGTTTATTTTCAATCCCCTTCTCCATGCTTGGATTTGATTGGCTGTCCCGATAGAATGGATGACAAGTACCACTTCTGCTTCCTGTATACACTTCTTGATCCATGTTTCGGGCCCCAGGGAACGGAGATCATTGAAACACCAATCAACGTGCAACACGTCACAGAAACAGTAAGTTTGTAGATAGTGGGCGAATGTGCCTACAAGTTTACGATGGGCTTCGTGATCCTCCGTGTACAACAGAAACACCTTTCGCCGATAAAGGGGAAGTAACTGCGCTCCAGCTGAAACACACAAGAGTGAGTGCCAATGATTTTACGGTATTCAAACAATATTATGGCAGCGGGTTCCGGTTGATAGGTAATCGTATCCTAATTACGTAGATCGATGCTCATGATGTTCATCACTGGATTGTCTGGTCGGGACGAGATTATTTACAGACCACCGCTGTATGGCTGGAATATTGCTCTGTGCCGCGTTAAACAAACAACCAACCAACCGGTTATAAGAGACAAAAAGTACTTCGTTACCAACATCAGCCATGACATTACCTTTCTGAAGAAGCATATGAGTATTTGAAGCAGTCTCGGAAAAGTTAGAATTAACGTCCTTTGTGTTTAATTCAAATTTTAGTTTATTTCAGATGTTGTCTACAAGACTCGAAGACAAAAAGCAACTAATATCCTGTGCACTTCTGGAATCTTAAAATCCAGTTATATTATACTACGTCAGTTATATTATACTACGTCACTTATATTATACTACGTCAGCTATATTATACTACGTAAGCTATATTATACTACGTATCTTATACTACGTAAGCTATATTATACTACGTCAGTTATATTATACTACGTCAGCTATATTATACTACGTCAGCTATATTATACTACGTCAGCTATATTATACTACGTCACTTATATTATACTACGTCACTTATAATATACTACGTCAGCTATATTATACTACGTCAGTTATAATATACTACGTCAGTTATATTATACTACGTCACTTATAATATACTACGTCAGCTATATTATACTACGTCAGCTATATTATACTACATCAGTTATAATATACTACGTCAGCTATATTATACTACGTCAGTTATAATATACTACGTCAGCTATATTATACTACGTCAGCTATATTATACGACATCAGTTATAATATACTACGTCAGCTATATTATACTACGTCAGTTATAATATACTACATCGGTTATAGTGTACTACGTCAGTTATAATATACTACGTCAGCTATATTATACTACGTCAGTTATAATATACTACGTCAGCTATATTATACTACGTCAGCTATATTATACGACATCAGTTATAATATACTACGTCAGCTATATTATACTACGTCAGTTATAATATACTACATCGGTTATAGTATACTACGTCAGTTATAACATGCTACGTCAGTTATATTATACTACGTCAGCTATATTATACTACGTCAGTTATAATATACTACGTCAGTTATGTTATACTACGTGAGTTATGATATACTACAGATATTTTAGATTCATTTTGAATTTTGAATCTCAAGTGATGAGTCCGTATTATTTTTTGAAACTCTACTATAAAAATATATAACAGGTGTATCCACAAAGAGGATGAAGCGACCTACCTTTGCCTTTGCTACCTTTAGCTGCTGTCAATGGCTCTTGGCTGTCACGTGAGTTACTTCCACTTTTCCAAACACGAAAAGGTCCTGAATGAAAAGTGATGGACAACTATTGTCTGAGACTAGATCTAGAGTACTTTTCTCATCGCCGTATGACTGGAACCTAGCCGGTGCAACGCTGAATTTTAGATACACTCACAGACTAAACTTACCTGTTCACTCTGACTATAACTTTCACTCAGAATCACTCACAGACTTAGGGGCGGTGGGGTAGCCTAGTTGTTAAAGCGCCAGCTCGTCACGCTGAAGACCCGGGTTCGATTCCCCACATGGGTACAATTTGTGAAGCCCATTTCTGGTGTCCCCCGCCATGATATTTGTGGAACATTGTTAAAGACGGTTCACGTGCACATTCTTAGACCATACGTACTTACAGGCTCACTCTTAGACCATACGTACTCACGTGCTCATTTATGGACTAGATATACTCACATGCTTATTCTCAAACTAAGTATACCCACAGGCTTATACATACGTCCATGTTCAGTCTCAGACTTAACTTATTCCAAACTCCACTCTTCGACTCCACTCAGACTCACTTTCAGATTAAACGCACACATGCTCTCTTTCGGACTCCCATAGACTCCAATGCCTCCATCAGTAACCCAGAATCACTCACAGACGACGCCACAAACAAAGTTACAGACGACGTCACAGACAACGTCACAGACGACGTCACCGATGACGTCACAGACGACGTCACAAACAAAGTTACAGACAAGGTCACAGACTATAATTCTCACCCACATACTCAAAGTAGTTTACTCATGCACACGTACGCACACACGTCTCCAACTCCAACACCAACATTCGGACTCTTATTGACATACTCCCCCATACCTCGACCTCTGTTTCCCCACTGACATACTCCCCCATACTTCGACCTCTGTTCCTCACTGACATACTCCCCATACCTCGACCTCCGTTCCTCACTGACATACTCCCCCATACCTCGACCTCTGTTCCTCACTGAGAAGGCGAAGACCAGCAACAGAAGTAACGCAGCAAATACCCCCAGCACCGACCCCAAAACGGTTTTGATGACGTCATTAGAAGACTCGGATGAACCAGACAAACGGCTGGACATGCGCTCTGAAGAGAAACACATTTACACATGAAGAAGAACATTTGAATTGTAGTTTCTTGGATTTGTAAGTTGTAGTATTGGTACTCGTGAAAGGTGTACTCGTAAATTACATGAGTGAGTGAGTATGGTTCTACGCCGCTTTTATCATTATTCCAGCAATATCAGGGCGGGGGACACCAGGAATAGGCTTCACACATTGTGCCCATTCTCGAGCGAACGCTTTCACCACTAGGCTACCCCACCGCCCTATAAATTACATGAATTGAAATCAGGTTTAATGTCGTGTTTTACAGTAATATTCCTCTTTTACCTCACACCTGTATAACATGGATACCCAGTCAGACACATTATACTGACTTAGAGACGGCCAGTTCCTGTTTTGTTTTACCCCTTAATGCCGAGCGCCAGGCAGGGAACTAACAAGTACCATTGTTATGATACCGCAAAGGGGTCGAGCTACCTTTCAGCTGTCGAGGCATACCCTCTATTAACTCCACAATGGAGGCATAACAATGATAGAAAGTGCCTTAAATAAAGTTGTCTTCAGTTGGTAAATTTATTCATTTAAAGAAGCCAGTGCGTATAACACGTTCCATTGTTTTCTGAAGTCAAAACATCAGCCCAATATGTGAGGAAAGCCAGATGAGGAATAGGTTTGTTTGTGTATTGGTTGTTTAACGCCGTCGACGGTAACATCACAGCTGCCGGTAAATAATGGAAGCTGGGCCAGTTAAGTGAGTAAGTGAGTGAGTTTAGTTTTACGCCTCACTCAGCAATATTCCAGCTATATGGCGGCGGTCTGTAAATAATGTGGGATATAACTGCATGGTAACATCACAGCTGCCGGTAAATAATGGAAGCTGGGCCAGATAACAGTGACTGATATAATGAGCAACGAACCGGGGTACGCTGACACGCCATGCCACCGAGCCTGACTGACCGCTCCATTTGACCAATAAACACCGGATGCTGGGGACACATTCTGACCCGGAAACCTCATGGGGTTGTTCGCGATCACAGAGGTTCACTACAGGAACCACGACACAAGGCACAATCAGTCACGTATCTGTGTTTGTTAGAACCATGAACATGCTCGTGGCTAGTCTGTCTCACAGTCAGTCCCAGAACCGCATTATTTTCCAGTCTGCTTATCCCTTTCTATGTGCTAAAGCCCTAAATGAAGCAAGTCTAGATTTCTAGATTTTCAGTTTCAGGTTCTGAATCACCCTTGTCTGGGCTCCTTTTGAATTTAAAAGGAATTGTTTGTTTCTATCAATGTTATTTATATTACAGACTAAACGTTACTCTAGCCCGTGGCTTTAACCAATGTGTAATACGCATGAGACAACAGTGGTGATCCGGGTTAGAATTGGCCTTCAGCAACCCATGGGAACCCTACTAATGGGATCGGGTGGTCAGACTAATGGGATCGGGTGGTCAGACTAATGGGATCGGGTGGTGAGACTAATGGGATCGGGTGGTCAGACTAACGGGATCGGGTGGTCAGACTAACGGGATCGGGTGGTCAGACTAATGGGGTCGGGTGGTCAGACTAATGGGATCGGGTGGTCAGACTAATGGGATCGGGTTGTCAGACTAACGGGATCGGGTGGTCAGACTTAGTTAATGCATGTCATCGTATCCCACTTGCGTAGATCGATGCTAATAATGTCACTGGATTGTCTGGTCCGGACTCGATTACATACCGACGGACGTCATATAGCTGGGTAAATGCTGACTCCAGCGTTATACAAAATACAAACATGCATCGCTTCAAGTCTTCCTCTATCAAGATGACATACCGTGTAGTAATGTTGTTCAAAGCGCCATTAAATCTCACTCACTTATAGGACAGACGGGTTTGGTAGCCTAGTGGTTAAAGCTGAAGACCTGGGTTCGATTCCCACATGGGTACAATGTATGAAGCCCATTTCTGGTGTTCCCGGCTGTGATATTGCTGGAATAGTGCTAAAAAAAACCCCACTCACTTGAAGGGTTATTACAGTTTAGCACAAGTTGCATTGGGGCTACACCGTCACCTGCTTTAAACACACACTCTCATACCACCTGCACTTAATCCATAACGCCGGGCGTCATTGACAACGTTGATAACGGATCCGCGACATGGGCTACAAATGAAACTTGTTCTAATAATCAACAGACGAAAATACACATTTATCAATGTTCCTCAAGGCGAAAGCTTAGCTGGCTTTCTCAAAAGTAAACAGTTTGTCCCGTGGGTAATTACAAGCCAATTTATTATTTCAAGTCTTTAGCATTCGGTGATTACACATTTCAGCTCAGTCTTTGGGTAGTCATGTGGTTTTTAATCAAGAAGCCATTTTCAGACTGTTTACCAAACCCTTTCCTGCTCAGATACCAGACGTTTTAGAAACAAATGTTTGCTTTTTTCAGTCTTGAGAAAAGGTTTCAGAGGAAGTTTTAGTCAACACAGCTATTACGGAACTTTGAAGTGAAGAAATCTTAATTAAACACCGCGTAAAGGGTGGAAATTGTAATTCGGTTTAAGGGGGTATTTTTTTATTCAACGACGTAGATACGAATGTTTTTCGGTGCTGGTTGACAGACATTCCTGGATTGATGGACAATATCTGACTGATCAATGGAACTCCGTGGAACAATGACTGAATAGAGCAAAGAGTAAAATTATTAATGAACTCCTTAAGCATTACAGAAATATGAAACGACATTATAATCCGAAGGTGATTTAATACACAGATTATTGTATTCATCCTGTATATTTCACGGTTTTTTTATTTAGATATTAATTGCTTTTTGCGGTGGGCGAGGGACATCTGTTACGGATGTGACTATATATATATTTGGTGAAATATCAGCAAAAATAGCAATTTGCTACCACATTGCAAATTGTTTTCCGAATCATTTCATGCATTTGAAGTGCATCCTGTCGACACTTCTGTTCGTCCATTGCATCAACTACCCAAACCCCACCCACCCTTCTCTATGCCCCCACCCATAATTCTCTACCCCCTACCTTATCTCAAAGGTATGTCTGGGACAAAAAAGGATGTAACATATAGAATAGGAATCAGTCAAGTCAATAGCAATCATATCCAAATCCCACAGGGGTGGTGGGGTAGCCAAGTGGTTAAAGCGTTCGCTCGTCACACTGAACACCCGGGTTCGATTCCCCACTTGGGTACAATGTGTAAAGCCCATTTCTGGCGTCCCCCGCCGTGCATTGCTGGAATATTGCTAAAAGCTCACTCACTCACTCCAAAACCCACCTGCCTGTACACGAGGCGCCACTGTGAAGGTGCTGTTACTCCACACAATGTTGCAGACTATCTCACACAGTCCGCCCACAGGTTGCAGCTGAAATGAAATACAACGCACTTCTTTACTGATTACATATTCCATTGTGTCATTTGGCATATCATGGTCTTCTCACCATCTGGAGGTAGCCTGCAAGTAGCCTTCAAGTGGCCTGCAGGTAGACTGCAAGTGGCCCATAAGTAACCTGCAACCTCAAACGTATCTGTCTTGGATGTTACAGGGAGTTCAGTTCGTTCTCTATGTGTTCATACGTGGGCCATCACTACATGCTATACGTTTGGTCAACATACAGTATGATAACTGCAAAAGACATGCTCGGGCGCAACGCATGTATAAATAAAGCACTGTTTCTTATAATACATTCTACCCGTGGAGATCTGGGTTAGAACTGGTCTTCAGCAACCCATGATTGTCGTAAGAAACGACTAACGGGATCGGGTGGTCAGACTCTTCCTATTCCAATAACGTAGATCGATGCTCATGCTGTTGATCACTGGATTGTCTGGTCTAGACTCGATTATTTACAAACTGGATTATTGCTGAGTGCGGCACAAGGACCAAGACATGAACATATTGTATTTTGGAGGGAAGGATAGACATAACAGTTGGAGCGTAGGATAGACATAACATTTGGAGGGTAGGATAGACATAACAGTTGGAGGGTAGGAAGGACATAACAGTTGGAGGGTAGGATAGACATAACAGTTGGAAGGTAGGATAGACATAACAGTTGGAAGGTAGGACAGACATAACAGTTGGAAGGTAGGATAGACATAACAGTTGGAAGGTAGGACAGACATAACAGTTGGAGGGTAGGATAGACATAACAGTTGGAGGGTAGGATAGACATAACAGTTGGAAGGTAGGATAGACATAACAGTTGGAGGGTAGGATAGACATAACAGTTGGAGGGTAGGATAGACATAACAGTTGGAGGGTAGGATAGACATAACAGTTGGAAGGTAGGACAGACATAACAGTTGGAGGGTAGGATAGACATAACAGTTGGAGGGTAGGACAGACATAACAGTTGGAAGGTAGGATAGACATAACAGTTGGAAGGTAGGACAGACATAACAGTTGGAGGGTAGGATAGACATAACAGTTGGAAGGTAGGATAGACATAACAGTTGGAAGGTAGGACAGACATAACAGTTGGAGGGTAGGATAGACATAACAGTTGGAGGGTAGGACAGACATAACAGTTGGAAGGTAGGATAGACATAACAGTTGGAAGGTAGGACAGACATAACAGTTGGAGGGTAGGATAGACATAACAGTTGGAGGGTAGGATAGACATAACAGTTGGAAGGTAGGATAGACATAACAGTTGGAAGGTAGGACAGACATAACAGTTGGAAGGTAGGACAGACATAACAGTTGGAGGGTAGGATAGACATAACAGTTGGAGGGTAGGATAGACATAACAGTTGGAAGGTAGGATAGACATAACAGTTGGAAGGTAGGACAGACATAACAGTTGGAAGGTAGGATAGACATAACAGTTGGAGGGTAGGATAGACATAACAGTTGGAGGGTTGGGTAGACATAACAGTTGGAGGGTAGGATGGACATACCATTTGGAGGGTAGGATGGACATAACAGTTGGAGGATAGGATGGACAAAACATTTGGAGGGTAGGATAGACATAACATTTGCAGGGTAGGATAGACATAACAGTTGGAGGGTAGGATAGTCATAACAGTTGGAGGGTAGGATAGACATAACATTTGGAGGGTAGGATGGACATAACAGTTGGAGGATAGGATGGACAAAACATTTGGAGGGTAGGATAGACATAACATTTGGAGGGTAGGATAGACATAACAGTTGGAGGGTAGGATAGACATAACATTTGAAGGGTAGGATAGGCATAACAGTTGGAGGGTAGGATAGACATACCAGTTGGAGGGTAGGATAGACATACCATTTGGAGGGTAGGATAGACATAACATTTGGAGGGTAGGACAGACATAACAGTTGGAGGGTAGGATAGATATAACAGCTGGAGGGTAGGATAGACATAACATTTGGAGGGTAGGATAGACATAACAGTTGGAGGGTAGGATAGACATAACATTTGGAGGGTAGGATAGACATAACAGTTGGAGGGTAGGATAGACATAACATATGGAGGGTAGGATAGACATAACAGTTGGAGGGTAGGATAGACATAACAGTTGGAGGGTAGGATAGACATAACATTTCCATACATATCATGGTATGAATAAGGAAATTGAATCGGCACATTCATTAGCAAGAGTCGTTCTTTGAAATCTTCGTAGAAACAACATGCTCGCTTGTTGTGGTGTTGTGTTTCAAAAACTGTGAAAATGTAGACGCGAGATGCTGGATCTGTTGGAGTATAGCTCAACGTAAAGCTGAGTGAGTGAGTGAGTGAGTTTGGTTTTACACCGCTTTTAGCAATATTCCAGCAATACCATGGCGGGGGACACCAGAAATGGGCTTCACACATTGTAGCCATGTGGGGAATTGAACCCGGGTCTTTGGCATGACGAGCAAACGCTTTAACCACTAGGCTACCCCACCGCCCCGTAGAGGTAAGTTGATATGGAGGAACTTCAAGTCAGCCCCCTGGCCATATGTAGTACTGTGTCACTGTGAGGTTTTATACATGTAGCTATTTAGGAACCAGATGAAGCTTTTTTACTGGCCTCATCACTTGAGACTTCAGATGACATTTGCTTCCATTTTTGACAAATTGTCGCGAACCTTTGAAGATGGAGATGGCTATACTCCCGGAAAGAAATACATGAGTTTCATATAAATGTCATATTATTGAAAGTAACAACACCAAATGTTTTCATTTTTCAAAATCGCTCAGCATTTCGCTTATGAATCTGGACGTGGACACTGTGTATTTACTGGGACTGTCTCTCAATGACTACAATGGTGCTGGTATGTCTATAAACTATGTCACATTAAAGGCTTTTTACACATCTTAGATGAGGCACAATGCGATAATGTCGCGCTATTCACATTGTCGCGCTTTGGATAAATAAAAACATTATTCAAAGCTCGACAAAACGATAATGCGACAAATGTCCAAAATGTCGCATTGTCGCATTGTAACGCTTTGGTTAATTTTGACACTTTCCCTTGTTTTGAGAGGGCGACAACGCGAGAATGTCCCTTCTAAGATTCCATACTAAATGGACAAACTATAACAGTCACGATCAGTGGTTATACACTGTGCTATCTTTTGTTTATAAAGAAGTGTGTAAGTCTGGTTTGCCGCCGCTTTGACCAGCAATGACCAATGTGTCAGCTTTACGAGGGAAAAAGACCTAACGGATGCAAGTCTTACACGTTTACCACCTTGGCGAAATCTTAGAGCACTGGTGCTGAAAACACAAGAAAACTAACTATGGTGAATCCAAGAAGGTTGTTTACATCTTAGATGGCTCTGTTCATTGATTATAGTTTGTTTGTTGGTTCAATCAGCAGTATCCAAGCTATATGACGGCAGTATGGAAATAATCGTATCTTGACCATACAATCCAGTGATCAACAGCATGAGCATCGATCCACGCTATTGGGATACGACATGTGTCAGGACCAAGTCAGCGATCCTGACAATCCAGGCCCGTTCGTTGCCTCTTACGACATTCCTGGCTTGCTAAAGACCAATTCTAACCCGGATCTTCACTATGTTCAACAACAAATGTGTTGCTATTGGTTGCCCATGCATTTCGATGTTTCAGTGCTTATTAATTGCAAGCAGTATCATGTGCAAACATATTTTTAGAGGGATATATTTTTCTCCGTCGCTTTTCTTACGATCATAGGCATTCGTGACCAACACGTGTTATGTCGGGACAAGCCGAATAGCATTCGTGACCAACTCGTGTTATTCCGGGACAAGCCGAATAGCATTCGTGACCAACTCGTGTTATTCCGGGATAAGCTGAATAGGAGGTTATGGAAAGGGGCGAGTGGGGACGAATGGATCACAGGTTCCCTCCTAAGGGAGGCAACTCAGTTCAGAGAAATGACGCGCCTAAGACGACGGTTCTACCTGTGCTCCCTTATTTTGAATATTCAGAAATTGTGTATTCAAACTTACCCCAATTCTGTAAGTCTCAGGAGAAACGTTCCGAAACGTTGTTTTCAAAACCTGCAAAGAAATACAACAACAAATACAGACAACAGATATAGATGACAGTAGAATCGGGCTTTTACAAAGTGTTGATATGTTCAGTGTTGTTGACAAGACATCTGTTCCAGAAACTCACATTGTGGTGGTCCTGCTGCAGGACGTGCTGCCGCTTGTTGGTGGTGTTGATGCCGGAGAGTATCACGTTATATTGGGTGATGTCGCCGTTGTTGGCGGCGTGAAATGTCGCTGTGACGTTGTTGTTTGCGTCAACAGAGACGTTGATGCGTGGCGTCCAGTCTGCACATCAGGGAAAGAAAACGTTTACACATACATGTAATCATCGAGAGTTGAATAAAAGTAACAATGTTTAGACTCAGGGTACTGACTGCACGATTGAATGTGTGCATACCTGTCAACTCTCACGCCTTTGGCTTGAGACTCACAATTGTATCCCTCATGTCACGCTCTCACAAAAACAACTGATATAAAAATGAAAAATAGCAATAAAAACCCGCTAAAAGGATATCGTTTGCAGGATACATCGTTCGCTGTGAGTTTTTCTAAGAAGAGAATTTGCAATTATGCGTTGGCTTTTCTGGGGGCATCTCAAGTTGTTTTCTCTCTTGGGGTTGGAAGCTATGTGTGTGAGTGAATAAGGTTTTATGCCGCTTAAGGCAACACTCCAGCAATACCATATGGGTTTATAGTTGTGTGGGGGTAGTGTCATCATTTCCTGTCGCAAACTGAATGGTATAATCAAGCGTGGAAGGTATCTATAAACAAGAACTATTATCAGTATTAAATTGCACAGATCTTGATAGAAGCTCCTGCTGGGAGACTTGGTTGCATATTAATCTGATCGCCAGAACATTTTGGGTCAGCGAGTGGACGATACTGGCCAATTGAAGATCAGTCATCCGATACTTGACATGATCTTTCTGTTGCTGCAATTGCCACGACTTTCATACATTAACGGCTTGGTTAACTCCAAATAAATGCAGCTCAGTTGCTTGAAATTCGAACTTTGTGTTGTTTGTTTACGACGACATGATTATGATAGACGGAACCGTACCATCTTCTATGGTTTTAGTAAAGACTATTCACTTTTTGTTTAGGCTTTCTGTCAACATTAAGCTGGCAAGTCTTTTAATCCCACTCACTCAGTCACTCTGGAAAACTTATCCTGTCGAAGGGCAGTCGGTAAACATCGCTACTCCTTACCCACTGACAGTTCCGATTGTTGCTGACGTTGCTCCACTAAGATTGGACCTTTCACTGTCATGGAACAGTCGAACTGACACGCTCCGCCCACAGGCATCACCTGAAATATCAAATTGTTATGCATTGTCTAAATGAAATTGACATCAGCTGTCAAATATCATCGATTCGAATTGTGATTTATCATACTGACAAGCTCGACACAGAAATATCACAGACTCAAAGTGTTGTTTAATGTCAACATGGCAAGTTCCGCTTGTAGGTATCACGTTACAAAAACATCAAAGTTAACAACAAAGTAGTATTAATGTCAAATTGACATTCAGAAATATCATTGATTCAAACAGTACATGTCAATCTGACAGCTCTGGGAACACAGCGACCATCGAGTGTGTTATGTCAAACACTGAAATGCCTCAAATACTGGTTGTTTGTTGTTAACGCCGCACTCAATAATATTCCTGCTATATGACGCCCATCTTTGGACAATCGGGCAACAGAGGGATCATGAGCATCGATCTACGCAATTGGGATACGATGACTTCTGTCAACCAAGTAAGTCGACCTGACCACCCGATCCCGTTAATCGCCTCGTGTTATGGCCTCCTACAAGCATGGGTTACTGAAGACCAATTCTAATCCGGATCTCCACGCATTACACGTGTCTTGAGGCAAGATCATACAGAATCAGAAAAATGACGAGAAAATTGATTGTTGGTTGTTGAACGCCTTCAAGGGATTGATAGTCTTCTATCTTAACAACTGGGTTTACTAACAAATTCTGCGACTTCTTCAGTTTACACAGTCAAAGCAAAAATTGATAAAAAACTACCATGATTATATATTATGCTCAGGCCTTACACGCACGAGCTGTGCTCTAAAAAATGAGTTACTGCTCGGCTCCACTCTTTTAGGACCAACGCAACAATCTTTTGATCCTTACCGTAGTACCCACACACCTTTACGCGAACATCACTATTTTGATATGGCATTTATTCAGCATCAGTCAAGAAGTCGATACAAATAAATGTAAAGGCAGTTAAGTCGCTGCTCTTATACATGGCTTTATTTGATATGCCAATTTAACCAGGTTCTTTGATCATACGATAAATATATCCATATATGCACATACATGCTCGCGCGCGCGCGCACGCACCCACCCACGCACGCACGCGCGCGCACACACACACACACACACACTCACCATCCCAAATAAATGTCTGGGAGGAGGTCCTTCGAACATATGTTTGTTTCACCCACGTAGGTCCATGTTATAAATGACGGGTCTATTGTTTTCTATTGTGTGTCACGATTAAAACGTACCTCAACTCTATACCTTCCCGCTGGGACATCGTAGAAGACTGTCTGCTGGAAATACAACACAGAGTGAGTGAGTGAGTGGTTTGACATGGCAAAGGGCACCAGAATGCCCTTCACACAAAGTGCCCATGTGGAGAGATGACGGGTTTTCGTCGTGATGTGCTGTCGCTCTACAACTACTAAATGACCCTACTGCCCGACAGAACACAGAACGAGGTAATGCTTGACATAATAACGTACGTAAGTCATATTTCAAGTGAGTGAGGTTTTACGCACCGTACCCATACAGAGAATCGAAACCCAATCGTTGGCGTGACAAATGAACGGATGATCCACACAGCTATGCAACCAAGCGTTTGGGGTTTTTAACACATGGTATATATATATATAAACAAATAACCAGCGTATAGATCAACAGTATGTTATACTACTCGAAATAAGTTAAGGACCACACTGCCATGCCATGACAGATTAACATTTCATGTTCTTTAATCTCTATTGAGTTGTATGTTATGATAAATAACGTTGGCACTGATCCACAAATTGACGCAGCGCTAAGACAGTCGTAAACTAAGACAGTCGTCGTAAACTAAAACAGTCGTAAACTAAGACAGTCGTCGTAAACTAAGACAGTCGTAAGACAGTCGTAAACTAAGACAGTCGTAAACTAGACAGTCGTAAACTAAGACAGTCGTAAACTAAGACAGTCGTAAACGTAAACTAAGAAACTAAGACAGTCGTAAACTAAGACAGTCGTAAACTATGACAGTCGTAAACTAAGACAGTCGTAAACTATGACAGTCGTAAACTAAGACAAGACAGTCGTAAACTAAGACAGTCGTAAACTAAGACAGTCGTAAACTAAGACAGTCGTAAACTAAGACAGTCGTAAACTAGACAGTCGTAAACTAGACAGTCGTAAACTAAGACAGTCGTAAACTAAGACAGTCGTAAACTAGACAGTCGTAAACTAAGACAGTCGTAAACGAAGACAGTCGTAAACTATGGAGTTACATTAACCTTACCATTACGATCACTTGGTGGCATGGGACACAGGGCACATTACTCTGAATATCTCGCACAGAATTTCTCACCCTCATCAACTTAAAGTCAATATGAATACACAATGCCATTTAGCAAGTGGTCAAATGTGGAAACAGCGGCGGCTGAGTGGGTTACATCGCTGGCTTTGTGTGCTGGCGACTAGGTGCCTGACTCTGAGAGTGTGGGTTCGAATCCCAGATGGGACTCAACCTAATAAAAGTACTAGAAGCTCTACTTCTCTCATATAATCACAAATATAACATATGTTGAAATTAATATAACCAATCAAAATGCCGCGACCTTGAGAAAACGTTCGATATAGGTTACATATACAACCGTATGAAATGAATCTTACCTGGAAACATGTTATTTATCATGGGGTCATTAGCATGAAAACCAGGGAGGGATGTTGATGCTATCAGGACTGTGAGCGTCAAAATAAACCAAGTTCCGATTATCTCGCTTCTTTTCCATTCAAGAATGTACTTTCATTGGAAGGCTAATTTTAGCGCCGAGTAATTCGAACCAGACTCACAAAGAATAAGTCGAAGGGTCAGGGATATGTATCACTGTAAAAAAATTCTGGGTTACCTGGGATGGTAAACAAGCAACACCTGACATACCTTAAATCCGCCCCGTGCCTTGACTCTACCCCCAACCTTTAGGGTGTGCCGGGTAGATGTGTCGTTACTTATTCCCCTCAGTATGACGTCATACTGTATGAAGTTGTAGTGACTGGGAGCCAGGCTGAAATTGACGGTAAGCTTGTTCTCGTCCACGGAGGTACGAATATAACTCCGCCAGTCGCCGGGGCCTAAAACGACACTTGCAGGCTGATGAAATTGTTGAACGCTGAATCATAATCCCGTTAAACTATCAGAAAGTGAATTTAGTTTTACGCCGCTTTAATGAATATTCCAGCAATAACGACAGGGGACACCAGAAATGAGCTTCACACATTGTACCCATGTGGGGAATCGAAACCGGGTCTTCAGCGTGACGAAACAAGTCACAACAGTCTCGTTTCCTGTTGACTGGGTTCCGTCCTATTGCACAACTTAGTACAATATCGAGTGCAGAATTTTGAGACCAATTCATTTAACTGGATGCATAAATATTAATCAGTATTATTAGATACATCTAAGCACTTGTATATTGCAACACTACGCTCCTTATAATCCTTGCAAACATGTCGTGCAGCGTGCTCTGTCGTACAGCGAGCTCTGACAAAAAAGAAACCTGGAAATCGTGGCAATCTCAAAACGAGGTTCTGCCGCTAGTAATGTTTGGCGGTCTGGTACGGACTTGATATTATATCAATCACATTGTTCGTTACAGAACTACACTGAATAAGCGTAAAAAACACACAACAGGTGTAACCAGTGAGCCAGATGCATTGTGAATCATTTACGACCTCGTCAAACTGGGACAGTCTGTGACGTCTTAGTTAAGGTCATGCTACCTACACCTCGCCATAAAATATAGAAATACGATTATTAAAGTTTAAAATTAAAATTCATTTGTAAATACCATTTTCTTATGAAACAAGGAATTGAAATTCAGTGTAACCATAGTTGTTGTTTTTTTGTGATATCTATTTTCACTTTCACACGAGAAAATTTGGATCGGCTGAAAAGTAGGTCATTGTCTGAAAAAAAAAGGTTAATAAGACTCATGTTTCGGTTTGAACGCTTTAACCACTAGGCTACCACGCCGCCCCTTATATGTAAAAGTTAGCATATAGGAGCGTGTGTTGTGGTGCAAGGCAACAGGACGTGTGAGGTCGCGTTGACGATTATTGTGTTTATACAGTCAACACAGATGCCCCACTCAAACATACTGCACAGCTATATTCGAGTGAGTGAGTTGAGATTTTACGTCGCATCAGCTTTAGTTCAGCCATGCAGCGACGAGACCAAATTTACACATATACAAAAGTCCACAGCTATATGCGAAGCGGTTGTTATGCCACAGGGTAAGCTGTCATAACAAACCTTTTTTTATATCTAGCGCTTCACAGATTATTCTGACTCACTGTCTGCAGTTTACCATTACTGATTTTATAACGAAACACATTCACCTATTGGAGGAATGTAAACAGTCACGTGGTAGCCCATTTCGGGTTGGTGTTGTACTTCCGGCTGTGGCAGGCTGACAAGGATGACGGAATATTGCGTGTTGTTGGGAAGTGGATACAAACTGAAGGTGAAATTTACCTGCAACATAAATTAATTATAAATTCATTAATGCGATACCACCACTGACAAATGGAATGCCCTTTATACTGTTACTGCAGCGCGATCGGTGGAACCATGTCTGCCTGGATACCAAGTACACTTCACTTCCCAGTACTACCTGTCACGGGTGGCCCGATGCTCTAGGGCCGAAGAGCACAAACTCGTCCTGAATTTGATCCTTGGGTGATAAAGAGGAATCTATTTTGGGCTTTCATTCTACATTTAGTTATATATTAGAATTGATACCGATAGACTTTAAACCCAATCTAGCGACATTCATCCTCTATTACTCAACTTATTGTCATATCTGCATTCCTTTAACATATATATTGGATTGTCGGGTGCAGACTCGATTATTTACAGACCGCCGCCATAAAGATGGAATATTGCTGAGTGTGGCGTTAAACAACCCAGAATAAAACATATTTTGGATGGCAAATAAACAGTTATCCAGAGTAATATATTCCCTGATGTTTCAATGAACAATCCTGGACCTGTTCAGCATTGTTGTTACGTTTCGTTGATCGTGTCACTGTCTCCATACCTCTCGTCACAACCTGAAATTCCTTGTTACTTGATTAGGCGGAAATTGGAATCGGGTCTGAAATGAGCATTGTCTCGGTGTAGCTGAACAACCATTACCTGTAAGGTGGATCTAGAATTTAATGCATTACTTCAATTTACTTGGGCGTTGGGATAGCTCATGACGACGAAGACCCAGGTTCGATTCTAAAAAAAAAGGTTCAAAGTGTGAAGCTAACTGCCAGTGTGCCCCGCCGTGATATTGCTGGAATATTGCTAATAGCGGTGTTAGACCCAACTCACTCACTTACTCATTACTTTCTTCAAGGATTCTAGGCGTGTCAATAGATTTAGAATGATGTACTCACATCTACGTCATGAATAGACCAGGAGGCGTTCCTCAGATCAAACAGTCGACATATGGGGGAGCTCCCCCCTCCATCTTCCGTCCAGCGCCGTCACCGTCAACTTGAACCCCTTCATGTGGTGCAGACTACCTGGAACACAACATCACACGCAGTCTGTCAATGTAGGCTTCATGGGTAATAGCAACCTGGCTTTCTTTATTGTTTAACAGGTGAAGGTGAGGTGAAATTGTGTTTACCGTCGTGCTTGAGAATATTTCGCTCATATGACGACGTGCATGCGTGTGTATGTGTATGTGCGGCTGCTTGTACTAGCCCAAACTTAAGCTGGTTTTATAGTGCTAGCCCACTGAGATACCATGCCGCAGTGAAGCATGAATACCCCACTCAGACACATTATACTGACTCCGAGCCGACCAGTCCTTGTTGTACCCAGTAATGCCGAGCGCCAGGCAGGGACCAACAAGTACCATATTTTAACGTCTTTTGGTATGACGTACGCGGTCGGGGATCAAACCCGCTCTAACCACTACACCACGGAGGCGGTCATTGTTTAACAGGGGTGGTGGGGTAGCCTAGTGGTTAAATCGTTCGCTCCTCACGCCGAACAAACAGGTTCGATTCCCTACATGGGTACAATGTGTGAAGTCCGTTTCTGGTGTTCTCCTCCGAGATATTGCTGGAATATTGCTAAAAGCGGCGTAAAACCACACTTACACCACCACAGTGGCACAGCTGGAATGTTTAGATGAAGTTATCCACCATACTACCAACCAATTCATGGGCAACCTCCACGGCAACCTCCACGACGATTCGTGACATCTAACAATCATTCAAATTACTGTACGTCGGATAATATGTTTTCGGGAAAGTCGAAAGTCAGAGTTTAATCTCGCTGTAACGAGGCGGATTGCGTCACACAGACATTGTAAACACCCGGATGATGGCTTATGTTTAAGATACAGTTGTTATGAAGTTAGGTACATATTTTGCAATTGTTCATGTGACAATCGAGATGGATGGGTTTTTTTTTGGGGGGGGTGTTTGTTTTTTGGGTGTTTTTTCATGTGTCTACACATATAGATAAACATCTGTGACAGAATGATTTACTTCCATTGAGAAAGTATCCTCAAACACTTTTCACGTAGTCTTACTGTCTTGTGGGGGTTTCCACCGGAAGTAGAGACCGGACACAATCGCCAAATCACACTGTATCTCCACGGCCTTCACCTCAAAGTCACGTGGTTTGCCTGGCCACGCGAGCTGTCCCGGGGGTCGAGAGAACATCTGGATCTGGTTCGGGCAAACTGGAATAACACAGCAACATAAAGATAGCAAAATAGTGTCAACACCAACCCTCGCCATCCTATATTTTAGCAATAATTTTCAGATGATTCAGCATGTACATATATACTTATTCTGCTGTCAATATTTTCGCAAAACATTCTTTCTTTTAGAAAAAAACATATGCAAGCGAAATATTCAAAGTATGAATAAATACAAAACAGTGGATGATGTTTTCAAGAGGGGGTGGCGTGTATTCCGTATAATTATTTTGTTTGCGATCCAAATATGTTAAAAGCCACTCCTTGTTAATCTGTATACTCACAGGGGCGGTGGGGTAGCCTAGTGGTGAAAACGTTCGCTCGTCACGCCGAAGGACCGGGTTCGATTCCTCACATGGGTACAATGTGTGAAGCCCATTTCTGATGTCCCCCGCCGTGATATTGCTGCAATAATGCTAAAAACGGCGTTAAACCCAACTCACTCACTCACTCACTGTATATAATACTCACACTGTGTAGATCGAACTGCACAGGGGAGTGTCGCCTGAAAGAAATATAACACAAACTAATTATTTTATAACCAGATAATTTCATTCACATAGCGAACTGCAGGCACCTGTGTAGGTAATGAGGATTTAATACACAATGTATATACTCATACACGATATACGATACGGCCAACCTTAATTTATCCCCCACACTTTCCGACTCCCGTGCTGGGATTCGAACCAAGGACCTTCAGATCCCAAGTCGGACGCCTTGTCCACATAACCAAAGAGTTAACCCCGTCAGCAAGCTGACAAGGCAAGGCTGTCATCTATGGGATGACGCCACGCCCTGCAACATCCCTATTGCCTAACGCCAGACAGGGCAACAACAATTACCTTTATTTAACCTACTTTGCTTTAATGCTTCCAGAGGATCGACCCACCGACTTCAAGCTCGCCGACAGACCACGGTAGAGCTTTGTTTTCAATGTTTGTACGAGTTACATATTTACATTTCGGTAAAATATGTTTACAGCTATTAAATACCCCCAAAAATGTGCCCACTTTTGACTGCTATATTTGTACTGAATCATACGATGAATGGTAGTTCCTCAATAACACACATAGATCAATCCCAGAACGTCTACACACGGGAGGAATGTAAATGGTACCAGTCTACGTGTCCACCTGGCTCCGATAATTGTTATGGAAACCACTCCAAACATAAACACCGATGTCAGTTTACTGATACCCCACAAGTCGGTAGAAGCTTCTAACGTTTAAGTAAATCCCGCTAGATGATCGGTCCTGGCTTAAATCTGTGTGCCCAGTGGGTTACGGGTACGAATGTCCCTAGTAACCCGTGAGGGATTCACGGGACGGCGACAGAAAATAGGCCGGGTGATCAGGTTCGACGACAAGGTTGATGTCATCGTACCCCAATGGCGGGAGATGTTGCTCCTAAAAAAAGTAAGGCCAGAAATGCTTGGAAAATGCTTTTTGGCAATGATTTGATAATGGTTGATATTGCAGATTCAAATCTCATATATAATCATTCATTCCACCTCGACCTAATACGGCATATGAGTAATCACGATGTACCATTCCCTAATCATAATAATTACTCGTAATTAAATTCCAAGGTAGAAATACTTCAAAGAAACACATTATACTGTGACCCACCTGGCAGGCAGACAGGGTGACAGCGTTATGTAACGCACGGGCAGTACATGTCAGGGACCGTCTCAAAATATCAAGTGTCAGTATCACTGCTGGTGGAGGACTCTAGCGGAATTACAACAGAGCATTTATTGTATCTTTGATCTCATTTCGGTGGGATTTTGCGTTCATAAAGTTTATGAACTGCACGGCGTATGACACCCTTATCAAAGCTATCCAGTTTGTGTTTCCTATCTGGTTTTGATTTTGACACTACCCCTGAGGTAACTGATTTGTTTACAACTTTGTAAACCTGACTATATGTCAAATAAAGGGCTTTACACATTCTATAGTAAACCTGTCATAGCTGACGAGAGGTTTCTCCCTTGGTTTCTCCAGTATGAAAGACTGGAATAAATTTGAAATTAATTGTTCTGCAGAGATATTAAGTTGCATGTTGCCAGTTCAATGGTCATACACTAAGTGACACTTCTATGGGTGAACAAGATTATTTATGCGATTTGAATTAAGACTTTTTTACGTAATTATTTTGAATGTAACTACTACAATAGTTCCATTTTTTTTACATATATATGTTAAAAAAAACCAAAACTTTTTACAATTATTTATGTAATTTAATTAGTTGAGGCTATATGAATAATTATAGTCTGTATTTCAAAACTACAGTTTGTACTAAGAATATTTACGAATGTTGTTAAAACGTCATAATTTCCTCCTGTGAAGTGACCCCTCAAGTGCATTTGTTCATCTGAGCTTTAATATCCAACTAGGTAGAGTCGTACATGTATGATATATGTGCTTATATCTTGTGTGAAATTCATCATATTGATATTGAAGCCAAAAAGCATTTTCCAAGCATTTCTGGCCTGACTTTAGTGTTAATCTGGTTTGTCTGGTCTGAAAGCTGGGCGCGGCGTTAAACAATCAACATACAAATCAAAATGACAGAGACAGCTGATAGGGAATTAATATTAAACCCTGGGAATCGAACCCGGGTCTTCAGCGCGACGAGCGAACGCGTTAACCACTAGACTACTACCACTACACACACACACACACACACACACACACACACACACACACACAGAGGGCTGTTGTTAACTTGTGCGGGAAGTATATCGTTTTTCCCAGCAGTTACAAAGTTCTTTTGAATCAATTCCAAAGTTGTATGTATAGTTTCATTCCCAACTATCCAGAAGTTGTCATCCATAATATTTGCCTTTTACTTAAATACCAACTTCTAAATGCCTCTCAAGAACCTTATCGAGTGTTGTACATATTTACATGATTTATACATCTTATGGCTAGGTGAGACGGAAGTTAGCTCGAGTTGGATGTGTCGAACACCAGATTAGTCGAACTATACTTCTAGTTCTGAAGAATTCGAGAGAACGGAGTTCGACTCTGAACCCTTTCATCTCGACAGTTTCGTTTCGTAGTTGCCATCGCAACCATCTTCGTTCTTATATATAACTGCGTATATATTTTTCTCACTAGAGAGTGAGGTGAGGTGAAATTGGGTTTTACGTCGTGCTTGAGAATATTTCGCTCATATGACGACGTGCATGGGTGTGTATGTGTATGTGCGGCTGCTTGTACTAGCCCAGACTTAAGCTGGTTTTATAGTGCTAGCCCACTGAGATACCATGCTGCAGTGAAGCATGAATACCCCACTCAGACACATTATACTGACTCCGAGCCGACCAGTCCTTGTTGTATCCATTATTGCCGAGCGCCAGGCAGGGACCAACAAGTACCATATTTAAACGTCTTTTGGTATGACGCGGTCGGGGATCGAACCCGCGACCTTCCGCTCTCCGGGCGGACCACTAGAGAGAGTAATTTGATTGGTCAATTATGTTCGGAACAGGTCTTAAATCAAACCATGGCGGTGAAAGGGTCCAGGGTATTGATCAAAAGAATGACCTGGCAGCGTTCGTGACCTTTAGATAAATGTATATCGATATATATAATCGAATATCCAATTTCGATTAACCCTTAAAAGAGAATTCCTTGCTGTGCGAGACAGGTAAGGTGTTAACATTAAGCCATCACTATCACTAGTGTCACAAGTATTTGTAATTAACGGAACTGACCGGAAGGAAGCAAGTCGTTCCTGACGCCGTATCACGTACCTGGACTGTGCAGTTCGTGTCTGGACGACACCTGGATGTATCTGCAGAGTCACCCCTGGTCAGGAGCAAGAGGATTAAACACAGTACAGGATCAGAATATCTCGGGGTCACTCTCCACCACATGGCGACACTAGGGCAGCGGGCGTCTCCTGAAACACGTGTTCAAAACATGCGAAGTGAGTGTGTGAGTGAGTTTACATATATTCCAGCAATATTACGTGAGTGAGTGAGTGAGTTTAGATATATTCCAGCAATATCATGGCGGGGGAACACCAGAAGTGGGCTTCACACATTGTACCCATGTGGAGAATCTAAATCAGGTCTTCAGCGTGACGAGTAAACGCTTTAACCACTAGGCTACTCAGCCGCTCCTTAAAACAAGAGGTAAATGCACTCATATCTGAGAAATGGTTGGCACTCGGCTATGGAATATATATATGTATAAAATAACAGTTTCAAAGACTTACTTTATGACAATACTTCGTGAGACTGAATGTTTCATCTTATTTCGTCTTTGTATCCCTAACTGTTGTGATCCGTGGGGATTCAGGGCAGGAATATAGCTTCCCAGCAATAAATCTTATGAGCCAACTTAGAGTACTTAAAGACATGATTTAATAATTGGATCAGCTGATCACTCGCGGTGACATCGTATCCAAATCACCCGACTGTCTGGTCCAGACACGAATATCTGGAGCCGTCATATTGCTGGAATATTGCTGAGAATGACCAAGAATCAATCATGCAAACGATAAATCGTCAAATCGTGTTGGTCTCTCAGGAACATAGTTCCTGGAAGTATTCACAAGAGAAATGGTAAGGACTGTGACGTGGTTTCAGCCTCGTGGTATCTGATCCTCCCAGGCGACCGGTGGAGGTTTACCTGTCCGTCAGTGACTCCCTTGACCTGATTCAATAACGGGGGTTGCAAGATAACACCCTGTATCCGTGAAGTGATAAAGTACCAAGATTTGTTTCCGTTTCAACGCTAAGTCCCACGTGTTCGCGACGGTTGAGAAGTACTGATGACAAATTGTTTGGACAAGCAATTTATTATCCACAATGCCAGCTCAACTCTTGAACAAACCTCCACTTTCAGCCAGCTCCTCTTGATCTGACACTGGCTGATTTAAGGGTTTGCGTCATGGCACCATTCGGTGTGAGACTGAATTTTGTAAGTTCTCACGGGAACAAGAAGCAGAATCTTTTTGGAGTGAGGGAGTGAGAATCGTTTTACGCCACTTTTAGCAAAATTCCAGCAACATCACGGGGACACCAGAAATAGGCTTCACACATTGTACCCATGTAAAGAATCGAACCCGGGTCCTCGGCCGACGCTTTAACCACTAAGCTACCCCTCAGGCCCTCGTTTTTAGGAGGGGGCGGTGGGGTAGCCTAGTGGTTAAAGCGTTGGCTCGTCACGCCGAGGACCCGGGTTCGAATCCCCACATGGGTACAATGTGTGAAGCCCATTTCTGGTGTCCCCCGCCGTGATGTTGCTGGAATATTGCTAAAAGCGGCGTAAAACCATACTCAGTCAGTCGTTTTTAGGAAAACATTGATCCATGCGTCTAGAGTGTGATTCCCGTAAACTGGTTCTAAAGTTGGTTCGTGCGTATGTTCGTAGTATACATGCTTTGATACGCTAGAAACTGAATTTGATTCTCTTGATCGCCTGAAAGTACACATGGATAACAAATGGCAGTCGATGATTGAAATGTTGTGATGATGTCCATTATGCCTATGTAAGTAAGTGCTTATAGATTAGAAATGTCTTAAAAGGCAACTAACCTTTTTCAGTATCTGACTAAATGGAGTTCTGGACTAGTCACGAATAGATTATATGCACCCATAAAAATCGTATCTTTCTTACTATGGGAAGGACATTTTTTAGATTTCAAAATTGAAATGCGCACGCCGTTTTGACGAACAAAAATCTAAAGACAAAATCGTCAATTTGAAATCCTCATAGAAATTAAATTGTAAGACGCAAAAAAGAGCAGGGTGACACACACAGACTTCCTTTCTCATAATACTAATAAAAGCATGGTGAATTAATTACATTACGAAATAGAATCACTGGAAGTTGATTTACATTCTTAATTCAGGATTACGAAAACAAGTATATTTATGGATTAAATCATTATTCACGCTTCTTTTATCGCGTCTAACCTTAACCAACAAGAGGGCGGGCGGGCGAGAAAATTGCAATTGTGTAACTTATTTTATGACATTACAGAATAAGATACTTAGTACTGTGGTCTTGAATAAATTTATGATGTACCTGGAGTCGCTTTGATCTAGAAGAAACAGCAGTTTATAATGAGAGAAGATGGAGAAACATCGAGCTAATGAGACGTTTTATAATGTATGTGTTTGGGAAGATTCCTTTTTATCTCGCCACAGTTCTCCACAGACACTTGATAAACGAATACTTTATGTTACTTCGCGATGGAATGAAGATTCAGGGTAGGCGGTTGCTAGGAAACACAGAAAAAACATACGGACAGCTGGATGCAACGGTATTAATTACAATGAGGCGCTTTTCAGAGAAGAATCCTTTTGTCCAACTGAATAAATATGCAACATAATTGAATATTTCAAGCAGGGACTCCCGGCAACTTAGCCGATAACGTATCGTCATTCACAACATCATCTGGTCAGGCTCGCTGACTCTGTTGACACATGGCATCGTGCCCCAATTGTGTAGATCGGTGCTCATGCTGTTGATCACTGGATTGTCTGGTCCAGACTCGATTATTTACAGACCGCCGCCATATAGCTGGAATATCGCTGAGTGCGGCGTAATTAACCAACACAATGTATAGCTGGAGTATTATTGAGCCAGTCGTTATGTAACATGCAAGTTATACCTGCGACTGTTAGGAGCAGATAATTCGATATTCTGGGCGAGTCATTGGATATTTCTTTTGAAGATGTTAAAAAAAAAGTTCTGGGATAAACTAATCCGGGTTCCAAACATTGTTTACTCCTACTTTGAGAGGAAAAGCATTGACTTAAACAAACGTCCAAGCTCTGGGATTATTTTCTATTGAAAATTATTTGTGTGAATATACTGGATGTTCTGACAAAAAAACAAAAACATTGTGAGTTCCAAACATTTTTGTTAACCCTAGTTTGAGAGGAAAAGGCGTGTCGAAGCATGAATAACTTAAACAAAAGCCCAAGTCCAGAGAATATTAGGCCGGTATATATTCTCTAGTTGGAGCATAAAGCGTTTAGTCTGAGACTTACCCGAGTTTGGGGCTCCTATCAGCCGGCAGCACGGTGAGGCAATGCTGCTGTTATCCACACTGTGTCGGTGCCACTTGGGTCTTATCAGCAATCAATGGAACCGGTAGTCACGCTCGCATTATCTCACTGTAATCACGTGGTGCTTTACGTCCGTGATTTATGGTTTCGATTACACAGGACACTTATAGATCCTTTTGATTATCAAAATACTGTGTGGTCAGACTGACTGACTGACTGAGTTTGGTTTTACGCCGCTTTTAGTAATATTCCAGCAATATCACGGCGGGGGACACCAGAAAAGGGCTTAACACATTGTGCCCATGTGGGGAATCGAACCCGGGTCTTCGGCGTGACGAGCCAACGCTTTAACCACTAGGCTACCCCACCGCCCCCTGTGTGGTCAGAGGATGGTCACCGAGGTTCGGCTAAGTCTTTGACGTTAGGGTTTGACGATTGGTTTGGGAAAGGTCTTTTGGTGTCGGGTAGGTCCCGGTTTACGGGTTGGTGTCCGAGTGTTCAGGGGGATCTTTGAGAAAGTATCGTTTAATTTAGTATCCGGGTATCCGAAGGTTCAGGTAGATTTGATTGTGGGTAGGTCTTCGGATTCCAGTTGATCTTTGGTTTTCGGGTAGGTCTCTTGGTTTCGTGTAAATCTCCTGGATTCGGGTAGGTGTCCCTGTTTTTCGGGTAGTTGTTCGTGATTCGGGTTGGTCTTTGTGGAAATCCTCTGACTTAGGGTTTTGGAGTAGATTCTCAGTTTCGTGTTGGCCTTTGGGGTTCAGGTAGATCTCAAAGGTTCGGTGAAGACAACGATTTGTTGTTACATTAGACCCCGAGGTTTGAATTGGTGTCCGCGATAGCTTGCTCTTATGTCATCTCACGAAATGTAGTAGCAGTAAAATGTAAACAGATGTTAATCAGTACAAACCCGTCACCATACACGGTGACACGTTACCTCCGCTCCTGTTTGATCACAGAAACATGCACATTCCTAATGCGACGAAGTGTCTTGACTCTCAGGCTATGCGTGGATCCACGGAGGAAATACGAGCGTAGTTGCACGGAATCCCTGTATCGCTGAGCTCTATAGCATGACGATATCCCTGAATACTACAACGCTCTAGAGCTCCGTCTCCACTGATCCTCATGCCTGCTTCTGTGTTAATGTTTCTAAGAGCTTGTAGACATCCATGAAGGACAACAGGCACCTTTACATACCCTTAGCATTGGTTGTTTAATAGCAGTGTGTACCGGTATATTTGAGTGCTTCACATTCCATCAGTGCCCTTGGCAGGACCATGTTCCTCACAGCTTTGAGTCATCCACGAACCACAACAGGCGTTTTAACACCCCCGACATTCCCTGCTCAACACGCAGCACCTATCGATATATTTGAGCGTTTCACAGACCATCCAGTCACTCCCCGCAATGCACTGACTTTCAATCCAGATCTGAGTATAAAGTTTCTAACCAATCGCAATCTAGGCATTAATTCGGGCAGGTCTGCAACACAAACTAATCCACATAGCCTTATCAGGGATTTGTCTCGAGCTATCAACAACCTGTTTGTGTTATAATTAACACACACCAACTGTAGTTTCACAAGGAAGTGTACAGGTAGATATGTACCTGTTCCAAGCGTTATTTGGGCTGAAAGTGTCCGTCTTGCCCTGTATAAGCTGATAACTTCACACTGATCTGTCACCCGGGGATTTAAAGTCATGACCTGAGATAAGCGGTAACATCAGACTGGCCATCACTGTCGCTATGCTTGTCTCAGTGTGTCATACAGGCATTGTGTGTTATATTCCAAACCGCAATTTGGCGGCGGTCTGTAAATCCAGACAATCCGGTATGAGCATCGATCAACGCAACTGGGATATGATGACATGTGTCAAGCAAGTCAGCAAACCTGAACGCCCGATCCCGTGAGTTGCCTCATACGACTCAAATGTGTTGCTGAAGATCAATTCTAACCCGGATCTGGGTACATACAGGCATAGAAACAAACATATCGAATAAATAACAGGCCAGTCTATACCCTGTCGATTACTCTGGATGCTTTCAGATTCCCTGTGGGGCGGTGGGGTAGCCTAATGGTTAAAGCGTTGGCTCGTCACGCCGAAGACCCGGGTTCGATTCCCCACATGGGCACAATGTGTGAAGCCCATTTCAGGTGTCCCCCGCCGTGATATTGCTGGAATATTGCTAAAAGCGACGTAAAACCCAACTCACTCACTCACTCAGACTCCCTGAACTGTTTTAAACACAAGATCACAGTGTCTGAACCGTTATATTTTCTCTCCCGATAAGCCCGCGTATGAAGCAAATCTAGATTTTCAGTAGGTTCTGAACCAGACAGTCCAGTGGTCAATAGCAAGAGCAATTCCATCTACCCACTGGGATACGATGACATGTGTCAACCAAGTCAGCAAACCTGAACGCCAGGGCCCCGTTTCACAAAGCTCTCGTAGCCTAAGATCTCGTAACTTTTCTCGTAGCATTCGTACTTCCTATACTGTAACATTGACTTACGATAGTCGTAGCGCTACGAGAGCTTTGTGAAACGGGGCCCCGATCCCGTGAGTTGCCTCTTACGACAAACATGGGTTGCTGAAGATCAGTTCTAACCCTGATCTTCATGGGTACATACAGGCATTGAACAAACATCGAATAAATAACATGACAGTCTGAAATAAGTCTATTACTCTGGATTCCCTCAGATTCCATGAAATTCTAGTATTTTCATCCCAGGACTAGATGTCAGTCTCAACTGGATCATAGTCTCTCAACCATTTTATTGTCCCTCCACTAAGCCCCTGTATGAAGCAAATCTCGATTTTCAATACGTTCTGAACCTTCTATCGTTGGGTCCGCTAAGGCTGTTACCAGTAGGCACGATCATCATCGTGGTTGAATTAATGTTTTTTGTTTTGTATTTAAAATGACAATATTCCAGCTATGTTGTGGTTACGTATATATAATCTGATCATGACCAGATAATCCGGTGATTGATATTATGCCCATTGGATCAATGATTCGTTATTAATGAATAATCGAAAATGTATCCATTAAATCGCTTCTTACTACCAAAGTTAATTGCAAGGGATCACTTTTAACCCGGAATCGTCACAGAACAGTGTATGGTGCTTACAGACCAGCAATTTTAGAGTGTTACGAGAGTGTGTTTTTTTGTAATTTGTATTACATGTATCATTGATTAAGTGATAGTTATTATGGGTCACAATGTTTAAAGTTTTGAGTGTGGGTTGCGGCTCACAACTTTCATCATGTATGTTCAATGGCAATAGTATTTTGTAGCGGTACGCATTTTTGATAGCGCTCCAGAGTTGCCTCCCTTAGCAATCAAGTCTATTTACGGCTTTCATCATGTTGTGGAGTTTTCCAGCAATTCTGAGTGGGTAATGGTACAGCTAGTCTCTCGTACAGACCCTGAAGCAAATATATCCAAGAAAGCCCACACAAGTCTAGAAAATGTGGCAAGTCTAGAAAATGAAGAAAGTCTCAGGGCTCCTTTTCATTATATTTTATATTTTTTTACTATGAACTTTTTTCAGTAAAATATGTTCATTTCAGAGACTAGTTGTTAGTCTATGGTACAGCGTAGCATTGCTAGAATGCTCGAGAACTGTGTAAAAGCTATATAAAGGCTGGTTGTTGTGTTGTGCGGGGACTTTATTACATGACTGGATTTGTGTACATCTGTCTGCCATCGTCAGGTTGTCAACATTCAAGATTGACCGTGCTGCTCGTCTATATTCAACTGTTGTTTTTGTAAACAACCTTCAATCAGTATATCTGCTCACACTGTAAATGTCAAGACTCTGGTGAGTAAATATTTTATATTTGTGACCCAATATAATAGATTTGTGACTCAATTGCATTGTACTAAATATCTGTATTGTCATTCATTGTAGTTTGCTCATTGTTTGTTCAATATATTATTGAATATTTTAGACTTGTCTGTGTTCTATTTTGCTTGTTCAAAGGGAACTCTTAAACCTTTTGTCACGGCAATTTATTAACCGTAACAAGAATAAAACCAGTGATCACAACCTGGGAATAAAACCTAAAACCATAGTCACAATCTGGAATTCAAAATAGAAAGAAACACGTCACATCAGGAAGTTATCAGTCTCGATGATCCTCTGAAGCAACGATCACAATCTGGGAATAAAACCACGGTCTCAGTCTGGGTGTAAAACCCAAGATCACACTCTGGAAGTAAAGCCAACAGTCACATTATCAAATTAAAAGCAACACACATAGTCACAATCTTGGGGCAGCATTGGGTTTTTTTGTGTTTCACGTAGCAAACGTGATATAAAATTTTGTCAGTGGGCCATTCGGTTTAACACAAAAGAATATAATTAAAATAACTTGATTTGATCATCTCTACATCTGTAACTTTGATTCTGCTTTAGTTTGCCTGTTTAGAAGTGGCTGAGGGGAATCTGCATCTGGAAGAGAAGAAAACACCTGTTGTAAAAAAATAATAATGTATTCTGTTTTCTATGGTATTCATTAAATACAACATACATACAGAAAAATCATTTGTTGTCAAATTTACATATTTTGAATCCATAACACAGATTGAACTGCAAGAAAAAGCAGCAGAGAACAACAAACGAAAGCAGCAGAAAAAATCAAATAAATTGAATCACATGTTACTGTCATAAAGTAGGACACCTCGGTCATTAAAAGGCTCTTTTACTCTGCAATATATACGATAGTGTGTATTAATGAATTGAATTGAAAGAACGAAGAATGTTAATACCACGCACTTAGTCTTCTTGTGAAGTTTCACTTGTCCTCTACCGCCAGCCGTCATACCAGCACTGACAAAGGAAGGAAGCAATTGACTGAGCAGTCGGTAGGTCCTGACTTCAAGTCGGCGTCCAAATTACATACGATGAAAAACATAGACATGTTGCCAGGACTGGGACTAAATGAACCACCACGGGAACTTCATAGGATGCAACTCTGTCCGTTTATAATTTATTCAACCAAATAGTGTCATAGAACTGTTTTAATGCCAAATGTTTTTTTCTAGTAGTCAGATAACTTGCTCTCCTTCGCATGTCACACAATGCCAGGTTGAGACTACAATCAATAGTCAGTAAAGGCCATTGAAGGTAAAGAACTAGACAAACACTTAATCGCTGAATAAAATAATTTTGATGGTACCAATAACTGCTATGGTTTACCTTTGGTTTGCGACAGTTGTTGAGCTGAGATTTGTGTTGTTTTTAGCAATGTACCAGCTATAATGGTGGCGGTCTAAAT